AAATTCATACATTTCTGGGAGTCAAGTACCAGGCGAACAGAATCAGCAGGAGGTGGATTTACATTGGTGCAAATCAATATTTTCACTCAATGTTAATACTTCCACTCGTTGTTTTCACTCTTCGCCACTGATCGGCTCATCTGAGCTCTACCGCTCTGTGTTCGAAAGTTGTTCGAAAGTTGTTCGAAACGGAGAGACGGACCACTTATGAGAGCGGGTGAGCAGCGGTTACCATAACTCTTTGACTCAATGGATTTTCAGAGCTGCACGTCAGCTACGGTCTCCGCTCTCCTGCTCTTTTCTCGCTAGTTACGGCCTTCGGGGATTTAGAGAGCCGAAATGAGTGCACAGCATTGTTTTCACTCAAATTCAACATTTCACACTCATTGCACAGATGAGCTTCCTGATTCTTTGAGAGCAACGATTAAAATAACTCAAAGACCCAATGAAAAAGAACAACTGTTGTTGTTGTTAAATGCATTTATTGTACAAATATTGTTTTTATTGTTGTAGCAACAACAAGGTTTCAATTTGGACATTTTCAGTACAAATTCATACATTTCTGGGAGTCAAGTACCAGGCGAACAGAATCAGCAGAAGGTGGATTTACGTTAGTGCAAACGAATTTTTCACTCAAACTACGATATTTCCCTGGGCTGCACAGCTCAGATACGGTATTCGCAAGTAATGGGTTGCACTCATCTTTACTCTTTCATTTGCGTAAGACCGTAACTGGCGAACACAGAGCAGAAGAGCGAAGGAGAAGAGAAGAGAATACATAACGTGCTCTTAACTTTGCTGCTTAATTCCCCGAAAATCGTAACTAACGAACAAAGAGAAGGAGAGCGAACATGAGCTGATACGAAGCTCTGAGAGATATCGTTAATTGAGTAAAAATAATATCGTATTTTGAGTGAAAATAATATCGTAATTTGAGTGAAAATATTCGTTTGCACTAACGCAAATCCACCTTCTGCTGATTCTGTTCGCCTGGTACTTGGCTCCCAGCAGTTAATGAATTTGTACTGAAAATGTCCAAATGGAAACCTTGTTGTTGCTACAACAATAACTGCATTCTCAGTTTTGCTAAAATACTTACCTATAAAAATGTGAACCACACAAGTCCTAGTATCCTTATACCCCTGCACGGTATTTTATTTCCAGTCTGAAGCTCATTACGCATTGAAGGAGTCATTTCCGACCCCATAAACCATATATATTCTTGATCAGCATTAAAATTCGAATCGTTTAAGCCATGTTTGGAGGAAATCAAATTTTGAGCCATTTTTGCGAAATTTGATAAGGGGTTACATCATTAAAATTCTCAAAAACTGACCAAAATTAGAATTTTTTAACTAATTAAATTAAGAGGTGGCGTATTCTCCGTAGCACAGCAGGCTGGTGCCGGTGGTTGGCGAGGATCCCTCGGAGAAGCCGTTGCTTAAATTCCTACCTATAATTAAAAAAAAAAAATTAGCAAAAAATAGTACGTGCACCGCGAAAGTATGCAATTAAAAATGTTTTGCCCTTAAAATGCTGCATCTTTTGGGCTGAATTGCCTTTCTACCCAAATAATGGTGCATCTTTTGGGCTGAATTAATTAGCAACAAGCGAAAGAGCCAATACAAAGCATACTTTTACGCTGAAATTATAATGGGAACAGTTCACCTTCGCGCTGATGCTTTACTATGTTCGTCAGTTACGATTTTCTGGAAATTAAAGAGCAAAGATTGTCTTGCCTATAACCAGATTTTATAATACAAAATAATATTTTTTCTGGGTGAAGGAATCATTTCCGACCCCATAAACCATATATATTCTTGATCAGCATTAAAAGACGAATCGTTTAAGCCGTGTTTGGAGGAAAACTAATTTTGAGCCATTTTTAGAAAATTTGATAAGGGGTTACATCATTAAAATTCTCAATTTTTGACCTAAAATTTTTTTTTAAACTAAGTTTGCAGATTTATTAACCTCATAAAAACTAACACAGAACAGTTTTCCGATTTAAAATTAATGCATTTTTGGCCGAGTTATAATATTTTTTAATTTACAAAATCAGATTTTATCAGGCCTGCTCCGGTAATCGTAAAATTTTTTCGATTTCGTTTTGGGCGAAAACGAACCGTTTTCGTTTTAGCTGCTCCGGTTTTCGGCAAATTTCTGCTATCGGAATGTTTCGTTTTCTCATCGTTTCTCACTGCTCAAGCAGCTAACTTGTGTTGTTGGTAATAAGCAAATACCATAAAGTACTGCCTATTATATTTACAATTGCCCTATTTCTAAGCCAGAAAAAGGCAAAAAATGGTCGAGTTAAGCAAATCTATGCACCTAAGATGCTGCCACACTTTTCACAGTTTTAATTCCGGTGGTCTCAAATAATTATTTGGTTAATTTGGACCATTTAAGTAATCACATTAAATAGCATTATTTATAAACAACCATTTTGGCGGTTCTTTAAAGTTATTAATGTATTCATTTATATTTTATAAGTATTTTTAACTGGATGTTTCGTTCCACCAACAATATGGCAACCTTGGCGATACCTTTTTGCGGTGAACTTATCGGCCTATCGCCAAAACGAGAAAACTGGTTGAACACGGCAAAAATTTTGTTGTCAAATCTGAGGAGGGGTCAGAAATAAATTTTTTATAAAATAACTACCTGCCAGAATGATCTTGTGGTGTTGTGGAATAAACATCAATAGACCACTGAGTAAACAATTTTTTTCCTTTTGTAAATAAGATCTGATTTAATATAAAAAAAGCCATTTACTTTTCATTCCGGCCAGAAAAAGGTGCCCGTTTTCAAATCGAAAAAATCTTTCGATTTCGATTACCGGAGCACCAATTTCTCGTTTTCAAAAACGAAAACGAAAAATTCTTGCCGTTTTCGATTACCGGAGCAGGCCTGTATAATACAAAATAATAATTTTCTAAGTGAAGGAATAATTTCCGACCCTATAAAGTGTATATATTCTTGATCAGCATTCAAATGCGAATCGTTTAAGCCATGTCCGGAGGAAAACAAATTTTTAGCCATTTTCAAGAAATTTGATAAGGGGTTACATCATTAAAATTCTCAGATTTTGGCCAAATTTTGAATTTTTTTAACTAATTAAATTAAGTATGCAGATCTATTAACTGTAGAAAAACTTGCACAGAACAGTTTTCCGATTCTAAATTAATAATAATAATTCTAAATAGTAATAATTTTGCTTATTTAAAAATTATAGTTTACAGTAAGGCCGCCACAGCCCTGCTCCGCCGCCGCCGCCGCGGTCGTTGATGCTCACCCGCCGTCTGGAGGTGGCGTATTCTCCGTAGCGCAGCAGGCTGGTGCCGGCGGCTGGCGAGGATCCCTCGGAGAAGCCGTTGCTTAAATTCCTACCAATAATTAAAAAAAAAAAAAAAAATTAACAAAAAATAGTACGTGCACCGCGAAAGTATGCAATTAAAAATGTTCTGCCCATAAAATGCTGCATCTTTTGGGCTGAATTGCCTTTCTACCCAAATAATGGTGCATATTTTGGGCTGAATTAATTAGCAACAAGCGAAAGTGCCAATACAAAGCATACTTTTACGCTGAATTTAAACTGGGAACAGTACGTGCACCGCGAAAGTATGCAATTCAAAATGTTCTGTCCTTAAAATGCTGCATCTTTTGGGCTGAATTGCCTTTCTACCCAAATAATGGTGCATCTTTTGGGCTGAATTAATTAGCAACAAGCGAAAGTGCCAATACAAAGCATACTTTTACTCTGAATTTATACTGGGAACAGTTCACCTTCGCGCTGATGCTTTACTATGTTCGTCAGTTACGATTTTCTGGAAATTAAAGAGCAAAGATTGTCTTGCCTATAACCAGATTTTATAATACAAAATAAAATATTTTTTCAAGTGAAGGAATCATTTCCGACCCCATAAATCATATATATTCTTGATCAGCATTCGAATCATTCAGTATGCGAATCGATTAGGCCATGTCCGGAGGAAAACAAATTTTTAGCCATTTTCAAGAAATTTGATAAGGGGTTACATCATTAAAATTCTCAGATTTTGGCCAAATTTTGAACTAAATAACTAATTAAATTAAGTATGCAGATTTATAAAACTAAGAAAAACTAGCACAAAACAGTTTTCCAAACTGAAATTAATGAATTTTTGACAGAATTATGATATTTTTCCTCCTATAGAAAATGTTGTTGGACTAAAAACGAATAAAATTCAATTTGGAATCTATCTAGTTCTTTTAATTTGAATGCTGGGGATTTTGTTTAAACTGTAACTATAAAACGATTAAAACACAAATTGTAAGCACAAAAAAATGTCTCCGCCTTTGCTTTTATTTCCGGTACTTGTCTCGTCGCTTTTTATCAATTACAGTTATAATTATTCTTTTTGTTTATATATGTATATAGCATATGTATGCATATGTATTGCCGCATGGAAGTATTTTTATAATTTTTGTTTTAGATCAATCACGCTTACTGTACTTGCCTAGGAACCCAACAAAGAGATTTTAAGGGTTTTGAAATGTTTATAAAGGATTAGAACTTTTTAAAAATATTTGGAAATATTTAGAAATGTGTAATATATGTATAAACGTTTCGGAAAGGGTCAAGACTAGAGATTTAGAGCCAGGAACCGGAAGTTGGGGCTGGAATACTAGATCAAGCATAATGCTAGCTACTCACTAACCCGTATTTCTACGTAACTTGTATCTTTCGAGGTCTCTTGTATTTTGGCATTTCAATGATACGCGTTTCTGTCTGGATCTCGTGTGTTTATCGTGGACCTAAAATATGACTGAAAAGAGTTTAGTTGACCTGGGCAAGCCAGAGATCGGATTTACTTACATATTTGTATATACATATAGTTAGCTGTGTGCTTAGACAACCATTTACACATACAAAAAGAGTTACATATATGCGAACTTGATATCTATGATTTGCTTTTCCCGAAACTAAATAATTACATCAATTCTCTAACGTTTTCTTTCGCTGGCAACGCTTGCAGTGTCCAATATCCAATGTACGATTGGGGTTTGCCTAGATTATTTGCTAGCATTCGAATAGTAATCCAGTATATTAGTATCAGAAGTATTTATTGTAGCCATACATATAACTTTAATGGTATACATACATATATATATATATATATAACACTTTATTGTATATATTATTTGTAGAGATTTTCTTCTGGATTTGTTTTTTCCACATTTAAGAACTATGTGTGATGTCCGATGTCTTGTTAGTAATAATAGCTGCGTTACAGTTTGGCCCGTTATTCAGGATCGTTCTGGATCTGAACTATTCTTCTTAAAAACGACTATAATCTGGCATACCGTAACACTTTCATATATGTATATTTCTTCTATCAATCTATATTCAATATTCAATATTCTGTTGCATTTGCTTTTGTTTATACTTCGTCTTATTCTTGGTGTTTTCATTGCGTTTTCAATCTTAACCCTTTGATTCGTTTTCCCCCTGGCCGCCGCACAACTAACCAACACTACTAGCTAACGGTAAACGATAAACAAAAATACATACGACTAAAAAGTACACTCAATACGTCTCTTGCATTTAGCTCTTAACTATGCATTTGCTTTTGGTTTCATCTGTTCCTGTTTCCCAGCTGAAAAAGTCCTGTTCTACCGACCTAGTGTCTACAAAAATATGTCTTCGGTGACTGACTATATGTAGGTATATAGGTACACACGGGGCGGTCATAAATGCTTATTACACAATTATCAATATTTTTTGCGGAAGGAAACTGACTAGACACACACACAACGATCAGGGTACACGAGAAAGACTGTCGAATAGGGTGTTTCTAAACTCCAATCTATGTACGTATTTGTAAGTATGCATACCCAGCAGACACAAAGAGCGGAGTTAGTGCGAATGGATACGAAAAATGTCCGCTAAAAATATTAAAAACGGACAAAGAATCGGACTTTCCGCATTGGTTTCGCTAGATGCTTAAAAACGGACGGGGAAACGGGCGAATAGCGGAAAAGTATAGCGCAAATTCTCAGGATTATACCCGACAATGATGTCGTAAAAGGTCCGCAATAGAAAGCTTATTTAGATTCTAAAAAATTATAGCATTATCTGGACATTTTGTCCGCCAAACATTCGTTTTCAATATCATAAACCAATGTTTTTGTTTGCTGGGTAGTAGCTTATTGCGTTTGTATACCCTTGCAGTGCAGCCTTATTTCATAGAGAAAACCTTTAGTTTTTAGAGCTATTTGGATAAAGTTTACAATATTTAATATAAGTGAGACCGAGTCGAAGCATAAGGCTATATAATAAAGCTGTCATAGGGACAGTGGGAAGATTATTGGACTGACTGCTAAGAGGGATGACTATTCCATTGGTAAATTTATTTTAGAATCTAGAGAAATCTTTAGAAGGTAGCTGATATTATATTTTATATATTCGATCAACCTGCAAGGGTATAAAATCTTCGGCTTGCCAAAGAAATCATTCTTTCTCGTTTATGATTTATCTAAGCTTTTTCAAAGATTTACTATTCCTTCACACATATGTAGGTCACATTTATCTAGAATGTTGAGCCAACTGCTGAGTTTTGAGAAACCAGGCGCTTGAGATAGGTACTAAAGTTATTGGAGCGGCACTAACAATAGAGAGAGAGAGGTACATTTGAGTCGAGATTGCTCTGCGAAAGTGTGGGCCAATTCGGTTAGAAGTCGTTGGAGTGGAAACCGATCCGCGGGCTTCGAAGTTCTAATAACCATGAACACAAGATGTGGCCATTGAAATAACCAAATAAATAGGGAATTACATTTTCTGATTGCCTTTTGGTAAATCCTACCCAAACAGATTGGTTGCCACTCCTCACACTCGACCCAGTCTATTCCTTACACATTTTTGTGGAGTTTTGTTTACGTTATTGAAAAAGTAGTGAGAACCATTTGTAGGAGACCATTTAGTTTAGCTTCAGTGCGACCCTTCTAGCCCGATCCTTAGGAGATGCTGCAGGAATTGCGCTTGGCGCCTAGACTCCGCTCCTGGATGCGCTGCAGGTGCTGCAGTTGGGCGGGTGTGGGGGCATGGGATCCGTGGCCGCCGCTGCCGGAACCGGAACCGGACGCCGCTGCAGCCGCCGCTGCAGAAGTGGACGCTGATCCGCCACCGGCATTGTGATGGTGCTGCTGCGTCTGGTGCTGATGATGATGGTGGTGATGGTGGTGCAGCGGTGTGCCAGGCCCATTGTTACCGATCTGCTGCGGCAACGACTGCCGGCGACGGCGCAGCGCCGGACTCAGATTGTATGTTATCTTTGCCTGGGCCAGCAGCTCCTTGAACACCTGATAGTAAGAAAGGATTTGCAATTAGTAATACGAGTGGTTTGTTGACTCAATAGCTCCACCTGAGTGATGTTCTCGTTGCTGGCAGCGGAAGCCTCAACGAAGCCGTTTTCCCAGTCCACCGTGACCACCGACTCGGTGGTGGCATACTCAACCTATAGGGGAAAAAGGATGATTTTCTTAGTCAGATCAGATAAAAACTCCCAGCAGTTAGATTTTTGTTTGAATTTACGAATCATAGCAGGCTAAGGCTAAACTTTTATACTTCATTTGGACTTTTCTATTGTGCATTTGAGCATTCGGGAAAAAATCTAACAAAAAGCTAACAAAAACTAAAAGAAAAGGGTTAAAATTCCAACTGCAGAATCAGGAATCATCTATAGAGAATCTAGATCCTGGCCAAGACAGCTTAGACCTCGACTGTGGGTTGAACTCAGGATGAGGATGAGTCTTTCCCTGCATTGCCTCGTGTACTAGCGACCTTTGGGTAAGAGACAGCGCCTGAGGAATCTATATCCAAGACGGAATTCGGCATATAATCATAAAAAATAACAGGTAAGCAATAAATCCCAGGTGGAATGAGAAAATGGGGCATTGCTTTTCCATTTGATTTCCATTTTTTCACATTTATTTTGATGTCAGCTTTAGTAGACCTTGGATTACTAATAATCCCTTTAATTTTCAATTCATCCTGTCATTGTGCTTTGAATGCTTGTCGATAAATCTCTTAAAAAACTCAAATAATTTGAAAAAAAAAAATATATATATATAAAAAACCCACAGAAGCACAAGAATCGAAAATGTTTAAGGCTCCGGCAGCAAACGAAAGCAAAAGCCGTCCGCTGGCGGCTATAGGTTCTGAGAGAGCAGCCCGCCTGGCTGCCATTGGAAATCAGGATCTCGGCAAAGTGATGGCTCCACCAGACAACCTGAATCCCTGTCCCAACTCCAGGGGAGCTAGGCTTCCTGCCATTGGATCGGAGAGGGCTGCCCGCCTATTAGCTCTGCGGAATCTCAATACGAGTCAGGGCTTGGCAGTTTGGCAGTTGCAGTCGTCGAGGCTGTCGCTCCCGCTGGAGCACAGCGACGTCGATATATCGTTCTCCGTGATTCCCGACTGGCAGGCAGATCCCCCGACCGGAGGGCACTCCCGCTCTGGCTATGCGTTCTTAGCCAGATTTATGGAGAATCTGGATCCCGACCAAGCCATAGCGCATCGGGATAACCTGAACCGTGGCCTCCCACAGGTCAGAGGAGGGAGGACTCCCTCGCCGCCGCGTGCCTTGGAAGCCATTGGCTCGGAGAGGGCTGCCCATTTGGCGGCTCTGCGGAATCTTAATATGAGTCCGTCGTCGTCTCTGCAGGACAACGACGGCGATACACCGTTCTGCGACACCCACTGGTCGGATACGAGCATGCTGCCGGGCTGGCAGACAGATTCCCCGACCGGAGGGCACTCCCGGAATGAGTCTGCCACACACCAGCAGAAGTTGGAGTCGATATTTCAGCCGGAACGAGTCCCGCATCCGGAGAGGAATCCACTACCGCCTCCTTCTTTGCCTCTGACAACTAGACCAGAAGGATTGCACCTGCTGCTGGACAACTCACCGGTCCAAGCCGAGAGCTCATGGCTAAGCATGCTGCCCAAGTTACAGGCGAAGGCAAAATCAACGCCTCTGCCCGAGCTGCCCTTGTCACTGAACGATGAGCGTGTATTGGACGACTTACACCGCGTCCAGGCCATCAATCGCAGGCTGGTGGAGCGCATCTTTGGTCAGATGCCAGACGAGCAAAGTCGCCAGCGATTTCAAGGCGAGTTGCTGAGCCAGCAGCTCGCTGCCGAGCAGCAGCTGGCGGGTTTTCTGGAAAGAAAGCTGGGCCAAGACCCTGGATGTCTTGATTTGGAAATGGAGGGGATGCAGTAGCTGCAGGTGGAGAAGAAGGAAGCCTGGACTCGGCTGGAATTTAGATCATTCCAAGCGATTTGGATATTGCAGGGTCATTATAAGCCCCAAAAACTCCGAATCAATAAAATCCATGACTGACACAAGCAGGCTGTAATTTGTTTTCGTTTAGGGAAGATGAAGGGTTATAGATTTTAGGTTTTAGGTTGAATAAATCCATTCCACACATGGAATCAACCGAACTGGAAACCCACTCTCCCACCTACAAGTGAACACAAACCTTATTATTATTTCTTATCGCCAGATAAAAATCCTTATAGACGTCTAAATTGTGGCTGCAAAGAAATAAACAAGGCACCAGGGGCAGTGTGCCCCAAACGTCGCAGCTTAATTCTTCCAAATGAACAATCCCGAAGAGTGACAATGAGCAACTCCCAGCTCTCCAGCCAGCCTTTTTTTGTTGCCTTTGCCCGTAACGCACAAAAAGTTGATTTCGAAGGAAAAAAAAAGGGTCTTAAACAGTAAATAAATCCTGCAGGCAGGCTAAAAAAAGGATGCGGAAGCGAGAGGGGAGAGCGCGACAGTCTGCCGTTTTTGCTGGCAATTTGCATTTTTATTATATCAGAGCTCCGTAAAAAGTCAATACACCCAGCCAGTGCCGAACTACTTATGCATAACTACGTATAAAATGGTGAAAAAGCTCACAAAATAAGTGACAAATAAAACAGAAACCAAACAAAAACAGGGAACCCCAAAACCTAAGGCAGGGACAGAAGAAAAGCTAAGCAAAGACAAATTAAAATTTACAAAAGCCCCAAATGAAGTTGACCAACTGTGACGACTGACGAACGGAAAAAGGCAGTGAATAAATTTAAAAAAAAATGATTTTAAGTCGTTAAATTAAGTATGTAGATTTTTAAACCTAGTAAAAACATTTAACGATTTTTTTAAAATTTGTCTCCATTCAAATTGCCAATTTTTAAAATAAAATTGAATTATTTTTAGACGTTAAATTAAGAAAGCAGATTTTGTAACCTGGTAAAAACTAACATAAAATTTTTTTCGAATTTAATTAGTCGCATAAAAAATGGTTGCCGTTTTTCCTAAATTTTACAAGGGGTTACATCATTCAAATTGTCAAATTTTGGACAAAATTTGTTATTTTTTAGACGTTATATTAAGTAAGCAGATTTTTAAATATAATAAAATCTAAAATACCGCAAAATATCGCTTACCGAATTAAAATAAGCGAAGTTGTGATTTTTTTAGAATTTAATTTGTCCCAAAAACATAATATCTAATACTTAAATGTATATTGTTATTTAATAACTTGATCGGATCGCTGATGTAAGCAAGTTTTTGTGTAATAATACATTGATTTTGTGGCTGGCAAAGGACTCGGTTTGGTACAACGTTTTTGTGTTCTGAAGAGGTCTACCTGTCATTTGATATATTCGTTTTGAAATTTACATAAATAAGAGCGAGCGGGGCAACTTTCCGCATTTCTGGTTGGACAACTCACATTTCCGGTTTCAGTTTGGTATTTCGCATTTCCCATTTCACTTTCATGTTTGACAATCAAAAGCAGAGTTTCCCTAGCAAAATTTTCCTGAATTCGCATATTCCCACTCCCCCCCTTCTTGTCCTTTTTCCATGTTTTCTTTAAGTTTTTGTGCCCCGAATTTATGAAAATTACTTTTAGGGGTGACATTTTCGGTGTGTGGGGGCCCAGAAACTTATCCGGGAAAATTCCGTGAAGCCGTTTCATGGCCCGGCCAAATGATGCTCATTTAAGATATGCAAAGTACTCGGCCTGATAGTATTAATATAACATTTATGCTTCTTTTCGTTTTTAGATTATTTCAACTGGCTATCGTTGTTGCCATTCAAATATTTTGGATTCCTCGAGTGCTTAGCTGCTTAGTTTTCCCCCCATTTTCTCACTTATTTTGACTGCTTCTAGTGAAAAAATTCCCCATGCAGCTGCCACTTGGAGAGGGGAGTGGGGAGAAGGGGGAACCACAATTGCAGCTGCTCCTTTTGACGATGTCCGCCGGCTATGCGCTACGTTCCTCTGGATGTAGCATACCTTTTCAGCGATAATTATGCAAAAGCTTCCAAAGAAAAGCAGGCATCCTCCTGGTGGACAACACACTTTACAGTTGTAATTTTTAAAGTATTATTTTATTTAAGAAATTAACAAGAGGCAATGCAATGCAACAATCTCTTTGACTGTCGATGCCCTATTATTTATTTTATTTATAATATTTATAATTTTTAATATATTCATTTTGCTCATTTCAGCTTGAAATTGTTTGCAGTGCAGCCACCACACCTGCTGATGTGACTTTGTGCGATAATGTATGCTCTCACCTTTGACCAACCCACCGCCTGCTTTGACATTTTAAATCTTACACCGAATAAGTAATACATTTTTGTCGCTGCTTAACCTGCTGCTCACCTTAAATAATCAATGGAGAATTTTAAAATCAACATTAAAGCGTTTTTCGAGCCTTTGAAATTGCTACAAATTGTTAAACTGACTTACGCCACGCCCCAAAAAATCGGCGGCGGGTAAAAGTTTTGATTAAACTGTTTGTCCTTTCCACCACACCACGCTTGACAAACTTTACATAATTGCTGAAACGCCCTCCCCCCGCCCCCAAAAAAAAAAAGCAATTTCCATTAGTTGGTGCGGGGAAAATGTGGAAAATGAAAATGGAGCGAAGCTCTGGAGCACAGAACACAATCAAAGTGGTTGCAAAAGCTAGCCGTTTTCCCCCTTTTCGACGGCAATTAAAATTTATGCAAATTAGCAAGCGGGCGAATGACCTCTATATGACCTAGGGATGTCTCTCCGCAACACGAAATACCAACAACATAAAATGATTATTGAAGGACTCACCTCACGCTCCATTTCACCATCAGCCAGGAGGTCTATCTTGTTTCCCACAACCACAATGGGCACCGCCGTGGTGGCCTTCGTCTCGTGGATCTGGTCGCGGATCGTGCGCACCTCCTCGAATGTGCTGGCATCGGTGACATCGTAAACCAGGATAAACGCATCCGCTGAGGATATTGAGAGAGCTCGCATCGCCGGAAACTGGAGGGAGGAGGAGTACAGAACTTGATTAATGTATTTAATATAATTTTTTTAATTAATTCTCGCTAATTAACGATTATAAATTGATTGTAAAACCTATTAAAACCCTCCTAAAATCCTCTGAAGATAACATTTGTTTTACTTTCTCTGTGAAATTTAAGGCCATGGTGAGGTAATGTATCATTTTCTATATTTATTTATAAATATTTATATTTATTTATTGAAATTTACTGCTCTTAATATTCTCCATTCCCTAAATTAAGGTGAAAGGAGTTTCTGAAAGTTAATTGCCAAGCACGTTTCATATTGCCTGCTTTTTTATAAAATATAAAAGAGACGATTTTGGCAAATAATCTGGTGAAACGTGAATAATAAACACCAAAGTGCTACTTTTTCTTCTTGCCGATCAAAAACCTTCCTGTATACTGTACATATTTTTCCCATTCATTCTCAAAAATCCATTAAAATGGGCTTCAAAATAAAGTTAAAGTGTTGAACAAGGATTGTAAATTACAGCCAACGACAACGACTGTCATCCACAACAATTGTTTCCTCGACGGCAATTTGCATATTATTATTATTGTCGACACACACACAAACACACACACACACGTCGATATTTGAATAATCACAGATAATAATGTAAATTTCGTTTTCTCCGCTTAACATTCTCACACTTGGCACAAACAATTTTCCAGCATTTTCCTCAATTCCCCGTCAAGTGGAAAGAAAGAAGAACACATCGAATAGGAATGAATTTTGTCGTGTGTGCATAATTTTATATATACTTAAATTTTAGATTATATTTTATATATTTTATACAAATATACTCACGCCGAAGTGAGCTTTAAAAAGTATTCATAGAAAGTCTGCTTGGGATTGGGTTTGGTTTTGGAAAACTGCATTCCAAAGCCAACAGCTGCGGTCAGAAAAGTAGCACTTACATTTTTTTAACTCCTTTGTGCTAGAATTGAATAATGTAAGTGCTATTTTATTTTCAGAATTTTTAAGACTGCCGCTCGTTCCTCTATAATCCTCCGGGCTTTACAATGAGGTTAATGGAACACATTTTCCTATCTGCCTTTACAGCATTGTTTCTTCCAATACCCCAAATGTCCTTAATTAATATTTACACCAAATGTGTGTGCCCCGGTCGTGGCTGTTTTGTCTCTGCTTTAATTAAGGCCCAAAAGCTGACCCTGACCTCAGACTCAGTGCTGTCATTGCACATTCACAATTGTGACAGCTCAACCCAAAACCAAATTCGTGAATTGTGTTTTGAACCTCTAAAAAGGTCATATGTTCTCGGTTCCAGAAGTCCCAAGAGCAGCTTCCCCCCGGAATATCAACCTAATTGATACGAGAAAGAATGCCATAAAATTCTACAAAGAACTAAATTTGCTGTGAAGTCATGGCTTGAATTTAACGAATTGCACCTAAAAACTGGAAAATGCAAAGTAAAAATTGGGGAATGAAGCCACATTCCCTGGAATCATCGTCTTCAGCTCCATGGTCGTGTGCAACCGCAACCGCAGCATTTCGGCAAAAGATAAACACACACACACAGGCGCTGGGAAATTCAGAGTGATGCCTGGGTTTTCCGGGAGCAAGCCCCGCCCTCGCAGCACTAATGGCTTTCAAAATCATGTGACTGCCTGATGAGTTAGTTTCAAATTAAATGCGCAAACACACACACACACAAAGACTCGGGAAATGGGAAATGGGAAACGGGGGGGTGGGCAGTGTCCATGTTAATAAAAAGGCCACCATTGAAATGTGCAGGTCACTGAAAAATGAAAAACCCAAATGAAAATCCTGAAAGGAAAACAAAATAAACACGCGAAATGAAATAAAAGTAGGTGAGGGAGGGGGAGGTAAACAATGGCCGACACTGACCCTGACCTTGTACCTGAACTTGAATCTGCGGACTCGACCGAAAAATCCTGAACCTGAACTGGGTTCCAACGATAAAAGCTGCTTGTGAATGGGGTTAAATGTATGTTTCTGCTAAGATAGGGAGCTAAGATCGAAGGAAAAAACGATGAAAAACTATGAAACTCATCTTGAAACTTTGCTCTTGAGCATTTTGTGCTTTTGAGAGATGCCAACGCACATAGGCCCCGTATTCTGCTCACCGTAAGTAACCTCCATCCTCATATCCACCAATGTCAACCTCATTTACCCCTTCTCCCATGCGGTTTACGCTTGTTGCACATACGTCAAGCCTAGCTAGGATTCAGGAAGGCAGGTTCCAAGCCTGTTCCTGGCGCTGTCACCTCCCTCCCTCACCAGCACCTAAAGGAAATATCATTGAAATTGCCTCTGATTCGGTACTATATCGTATTCAACGAAGACTTTAGTCTAAGAACTTTTTGCTAAAGGTTCACAATAAACCATAAAAACTAAATGCAAATCCTAATTGAGTTTATGAGTCGCCCTAACTCGATTCACACTTGCCTCTGAGTGTCTGGAGGCAGTGCCTTTATTGAATTTAATTAATTTTTTCACTTTGAGCAGAGAATCCGCCACATCACAACATAAAAATGAAAACCAACGAGGTATTTTTTAATAGGATAAAAACTACCATCAAAGCCGCAGCTGAAAAAGCTTGTATTTATACAAAATATCTGCCAGTTTATCAGCAATAATTTTCCCAGTTTAAAGCAGAAATTGTCTATAGTTTAAGAACAGATAAGCGATTTACAGCTAAACTCTTTTTCGACCAGTGTATAGAGAGTCTTTATATATTTTTTAAATATTTGCAAATTGAAATTTTTGTGTAAATACCATTTGCAGCTGGTAAACATACGCGAAGTATTCACCTTTCTGCTTTGCCAGTAATTTCTGTTGCCGCTGGGAAAATGCGAAGCAAATATTGATAGAGCCCGCCGCTGCTGCCGCCGGTTGTCCAGGGACTGCAAGGGGTGGGTTACCAGTACCTCGGGGCACCGATAGGGGGGAGATGGAAGTGTATGTGTGTGGCCTGCGGCCTGTTATCTTTTGGCACACGCAAAAATATCACTCATACGCATGGTGGGTTTTGGCTGCACTAAGCCAGTGGTTCGTTCAAACCATCAACACTCCCTTTTGGTCCTTTTTAGCCCCACTCCACACATTTTCCCATTTTCCCATTTTAGTTTTTGTTCTATGCGAACGTGCGGAACGCGAAAGCTCACGGCTCGAGGCGGGGTTGTGGGCTTAAAGAGCGTTTCACGCAACTAAATTCATGGAACAAAAGACCACATGTATAGTTTTAAGTCCTACAAGCCCTTGAATCCATCGGAAAACATTGGTATTTAAAGCGGATTTTGTACTTGTAACGTTTTTTCATAGCTTATGGGAAATGAATTACTGAATACCTTTGAGAACATGATAAAAACCACATTTAAATGGTATTTTTTAACTATTTGCAGGCTAGATTTCCTTTTTTCTTTTACGAGCTGCTTTTAGGCCCTGCATTGTCTCTCTGTGTATGTGGTTTCCCCCTATTGCTTGGAACAATGCCGCTGCGTATGGCCACTTGACCACTGCAAAATCATATTGCGCATCCGTCCCGTGGACCGCGCAAAGAGATGACGAATGCGCGGCCAAACAATGGAATGAGCGAATTTCCAGAGGAAAGGCAGTTGAACAAATGCAGTGCACGAAGGACAGAAGCAGAAAGAGTGCGAAATGGCCTCGCAATCAACGCATATATTAGGATTATGTGACACCAGGAACCTGACCCGTTGCCACATACTACCACTACAACTACTACTACACACACACACACACGTTGATGATATGAGCTGCCACTAGGAGATTTATGCTCTCTGCCGCCGCCGCATCCTTTCAAAGATTTGCCCCGAAGGGCTCGTAAAATTTATGAGCAATGCGTGAATGTGTTAAAATTTATATGCCTGTGCGTGGTTCTTGGCTCGTAAAGGGTGCTAAAGGGTGCCAGTGCCGAGTTGTTTCTTGGGGGCATCCATCAACTAAAGGGATGCCTGATTTTTCGAGTTGATTTTGGCCGCATGCTCCTTGCAATGAATCCATTTGTGTAGGGATTCGCTTGAGAGCTGCCCGAGCAAATCCCTTTCATTAGTTCCATTCTTCGGGAATACTTTTTGTTCTGGCCTGCATATCTGCTGTATGATTGCATTGTATTGTACATAAATCGAATGGCAGAGCTGCCAGATGGAATACGTTACATGGAGTATATGGCATGCACTGGGAGAAAAACATATGTTTGACTCTCAAGTGCATTTTCTGGGTGAATCTAGTATAAATGTTGAAACTCTTTTCCTCTCTCTCTCTCTGCTAACTATACTATATTTTCTCGCAGTGCCGCCTGCTGCTGCTGCTGCTGCTGCTGCTGCTGCTGCCAAGGTCAACGCGGTATGTCGAGCAGAGTCACAGTTCAGTTGGCTTCACTGGGCTCGCACACTCTGCCTGACTGACTCTATTTGTAGCCATCCCATCCATTCCCCTTCCTCCCATTTGTGATTTGTGCGGATCCCGCATTCATAAGGCATATGCCATAAGGTGTGTGTGTGTGTGTGTGTGTGCCACGCCCACCTGTACGGTGAACACTCAACGCCCGCTGTTCGTTTTTACGAACAAGCTTTTCAATTCACGCGCGGCGGAAGTGCCAGCGAAATTGAATCGCAGGCTGTAATTTCCGCTGCACCCAGCTGGATGATGATGATGATGATGATGATGATGATGATGATGATGATGATTATTATAAAGCAGTAACCAGGATACGGGAGCCAGCAGCAGCAGCAGGTCGCCCACTTGGCCAGTTGTCGCTCCTTGAAATATTGAAAAGCAACTAAATGCTGCTGGCGCCCCTGTTGCAGCCCATTAGAGTCGGTTATTTAAAATTAAAAGCCCGGCTCTAGAGAACCACAAGGGAGCGGGAGCTTTCACTGCTCCTGCCTGCTACCTAGGTGCTCTCCCCTCGTACCCTCGCCAGCCACAAGCCATTTGATTCACTTAATGAACCCAGCGTGGAGGGGGAGCCTCTGAAAACTGGCGTTAATCCTAATAGTGCTGCCTCGCTGGAGCCTGGCATTATGAAAAACTAGTAGTTGTTGTCGTTAAATAGGGAAATCCTGCCTCTGCAGACTCTCGAATTTTCTAAATTTCTTTCATTTCGGTTATTAATTGGGGCATGGGGGGGTGACTCACCTCGTAGGAGCCGGCGGTGTCCAGGATGTCGAGGGTTAGACTAACGCCGGCAATGGAAAAGTTGCCCTGATGCATCTCCTCGATGGTCCGCTTGTACTTGGTGCTGAATGTGTTGTACAGAAACTGTGTGATTATTGATGTCTTGCCCACCTTGGCCGAGCCCATGACAACGATTTTGTGGCGTGCATTGGCGGGTCCGATGGCATCGTCGACAGCATTGTTCCTGCCCACTCTGCGTATGAGTAATGCGATTTTCGGTAGAGAGCCATGGAAAACAGAGAACGAAAGAGGGGGGGGCTTTAGTGAGTTAAGTTCGGTGCAATTCATTTACTGCCCCGTAGGCTTTTAATGTATGATTTAATAACTGGGGGGAAAAGCTTTCCTGCCTGCCTGCCTGCATATCATACCACCCCTTTCATTTCGCGGCCATTTTCAATCTGCGTCCTGGGGCCGTCGCTTTATCCCCTGGGCGACTCATTAAATCTGTGCGCCACATTTAAAATTAATCATTACGGCAACATCACAAAGCGCCCAACTACAAGCGAGAGCGAAAGCAGAGCAAACAAAAGAACCTCACTCTATAAACACTCTACGCACTATGGCGTACATATATTCCATGCTATATATACTATATAAAACAAAAAAAGTGTATTCATAAGGTAGAAATATAGTTGAAACACCACATTTTAAGATGTAAGTGTAGTAATAGTGATAGTAATCAAGAAGATCGATGATGGAATGGAATAAGTTTAGCAAATTCAATTAAAATACTGGTATTAATTGCCAAGGAAATGCCATGTGTTTCGCTGAGGAAGTTATCTCCAGGGCTGACAGCGTCTCAAGAGCAGGCAGAGGACGTACATGTATGTAAGTCCAGACATCTGCGATGAAATTCAATGCCATTTCCGGCTGGACAATGAACGCAAAGCCACAGAATCCAAAGCTCTCCGCTACTGACAGCAACTTCTTCTCCTTTTCAGGCGACAATAAATCAGGGAAATCAGCCAAGGCGGGGAAATCCCCAGGAAAAGGGGGAAACTCGTACAGAAGTGGCATAATTGGGAGACAACTAACCACCACCAGCGGATCAAATTTGACTTTAATAAGCAGGATTCTGTCTTGGGTCCGCGTTGCCTCCCTCCCCTTTGCCTTATTATTTTCACTTTTTATTGTTTTCAAGTTTTTTAGGCTTCTTTTTTGCATCTTTCCGGGGGGGAAAAACAAAAAAGAAGAAAGAAAAATGTAATCAAAGACCCGCAGAGGCAGAAAGCGGAGGCGTAGCAAAAGAAAAGCGGGCCAAACATGAAATTCTTGTCCTGACAGGCGAAACAAAGGAAAAGTATGCAAACTACGGACAAAACAGACAGCGGACAGCGGACAGACGGCCGGACGGACGGATGGACAGTGAGTGCTGCCAGGAAATCAGGCGGCAAACGGCCGCTTTCCCCTTTTGCCCATTTCCCCCCCCAGCATTTCCACATTTCATGTACTGGCGGCGGTGGCGTCTTCCTTTCATTTCTCGTCCTTTGAACTTAATGAAGAAATGAAAATGTTTGCCCAAAAGTGAAAACAAAGATGCCGAACCATCGTTCGTTATGAGTTTTCCAGCTCATCCGGCCGTATCTTTTCCCGATCAGGCCAAGCCGCACCGCAGGTTCCAAAGTTTTTCACTGGAATTTTTCCCGATAAAGTTCTGCCTCGGCCAAGGCGAAATTCTTTAGCAATTATTGCGATTGAAGTTGGCCCCCCCAAGTTTGTGACACTTTGCCGACGCCTTGGTTATCTTTTGGGAGAACTTTGTTACCAGTTGAATTCCTCTCTTGCTCCCCAATTGCTCAGCTTTTGGCCACTCTGGTGGTTGTTACTAGGTAGGTCAGGTTCGTAATATTGAAAGCTGAAAGGAGATCTTCCACCAATATGCTGTAAAATTTCTGAAATTTTATCGAAAAGAACCGAGTACTCCCAGACCCAATCTCCCAACATTGTACTATAATTCCAATTGAGAGCTTAACTACATTTATGTTGCCGCTGCAAAGTACGGGTTAACTGTCTGGGAGGGCCCTGAGGGGTCTGCAACTTTCTCACATTCAACGCCGCTTTCTTTCCTGTTTATGAACCATAAAAATTGGTGTTCCACATCTCAAGGTGTGTGTGTGTGTTTAGTAGTTTAAGTGCCACAACCAGGGGAGAGGAGAGGAGTATGTGTGCAGATATTGGGGCCATGTATCTTTTTTTCTCACTTTTTTTGGGGGTTTTCTTTGGTTACAACTTACTTGTCGCGCTTGGGCTTATCTTCGGCATTGTCATCCTTCATGAATGAGGGCTGCAGGCTGAAGCGGCGACGCAAATGACGGCCACGCATCCTGCAATCCTTTTTGCGTTCGTGTCCTGGGTGGCTGGTGTCCTCGTTGCCTCGTTTCCTCGTTGTCCCGGCAGCAGCTGGTTGTGCAGGTGATTGCCGGTGTGTCCCGTTCCTCCTCCTTGGCCTTCTTTGTTTCTTCGTTTCTCTCAGTGTCCCAGTATCTCCTTGTCAGACGCGTCGTCCTCCCAGGGTTTTATTATCTGGAAGACAGAGAGAGAGAGTGGAGCAGTAACTGTAGCGCTAACTGGCAACTGTTATGGGCTCGCTAACGGCGGTAGTTGGGTCCTTAATTTATTATTAGCCCCCGCCAGCGTTCCTTACGGAAAATGTAAATATTTGCCCTTCTTTCTCGCAACTACGTCTGGCTGCGTCTTACGTTTCGTTTTAATTACGTGACTCGTTGATAATTCGCATGCAAATTCCCCGTGTTTACCAACAAATTGAAAATTGTTCTGGATGAAACAAAAGCCATAAATTACAGCCACCTGCTTAGCTTCTTCTTCAGCTGTCACAGCGTCAGCGTTTGGCAATTGAAACTAGAAGGAACACTAAAAGACCGGCGTAGGATCTGATCTTCGACCAGTCCATATAAACCGGTCAGAGTCTGTTCCTTTTCAGGTTTTAGAAACCCTTGCAGGGTGGATCGGGCTAACTATGGAGATTTATATTGGGAGGACTGCTGCCCTGGCCACGTATTGTAATGGGTGTTTCTAGTCCAACTGCAACACTTGCTTCACTTCAGTTTATGCCAAGAGAGTGAAAGCAGGCCGAGAACCTACCTGGTTGCGGTACATTAATTAGACTTTAATGAAGTAGAATGAACGAAGCGCTGAATTTAACTAACGTTGCAGACTTTCCCTGCGGAAAATGAGGAAAAGTGGCGTCCTCAAATGCAATTCAGGCGATTAAATGTTACTTGAAGTGCAAGTTAATCCGGCTCCTGGCGTGCAACACTCAAGGCGACCCGACACGCCAACAACACAATTAGGAGAACGAAAATCGGCAGACACCTGACCCTTTTCAGGAGGAATTTTATCTCTGTGCTCTCCTCCTTACTTTTCAGTGGGTATTTTCTTTTGTGACCCATATTTAACACAATTTGGAATAAGCTGCAAAAGAAGGAAGCTGTGGTGGAAATCGCTGGAAAAAATTCCTTGAATTTACTCCGGATTTAGAGCAGGAAAATCAGGGAAAGGCAAAACCAGGCCAAAATCCAGCCTTCATTTCAGGCAAAAATATTTATATATTTAAGAAAAAATACAGCAATATATATACTTAATATATTTACAGTTTTAAAGTTGTTCTTTTAGATCGATATTTATATTTGAAAATATTTTAAATATTTTGTAGTGACTGGAATATATTTTTGGGAAAGAACTCAAAATCTACAGAACCACTCGGTTTGAAATTTGGATGATAACTTCTTTAACTAATTCTACAGGTATTCACATTGACCTTTTTTTTAATTTTTAATTTTATTATATTTTTTACTTAACAAATTAATTTAATTTTGTATTCAAAAATAGGTGCTTTGACTTCCAATTTGTATAAAAAATCGGAGAAAAATTTTTAAAATAAAACAGCCACGTGAGTGTCTCGGGACACATATCCTTTAAGGAATAAATTATAATTTTTTAAAATTGGATGATTCTGTAGACAGCTAGGATGTACACCGTAAACCAACTATTTTTTAAAGGCCACTCGGGAGATTCCCTATAACTTCTCTACCTCTAAATATTTTTCAATACAAAATTTATCACAAATTGTTCAAATGTTGTGTTATTATTTGGTATTTAATTTATTAAGCTAACTTTAGCCGTTTCCCCGCAATAATTTTTTGAAAAGGGACCCCCCCACTCAACCCTTAAAACTCACTTCTGTTAAGCTTCTTCTGTGCCTGATTTTTTTTCGAACCACCGAAAAGCGTCAGCAAGTCAAACTTTGCCAGCCAAGTGTGTGCAGGGTGTGCGTGTGTGCTTGGAGGGGGGGGGGTCTTAAGACCAGTTGATTCCAGTGAAACTTGGTTTGCGGCTTTGGAGCCCGAAAATTTGCTCAAGTAAACGAGTTGCGGCATATTGACTGCAGTCAGCTGAATAAGTGGATTATCCTAGACCAAGGAGTGGCTAAAAAGAGGCTTCTGCTCAGGAAACGGTCTAAGGAAATTGCCTGCGGTTTTGTGTGCATTGTTTCAGGACACCCTCCCCCGCTGCTATGGGGCTGCCTCCCCAGATCCCCGTTCAAGAGCCCAGAGCAGTGGCCCTAAACTAAATTTATTTAAATATTTGTTGTGGTCTTTCCCGCTTGGTTTTACCTTTAACAAGAAGGAAAGCAAACGTGGAGCATAAAAAATCGATCCATTTTGGTCAAATGGAATTTAAAATTAAATTTAATAATTTAAGAAATCAAAATAACCCCTTATAATATTTTGAAAACAATTGAATAACATTTTTTATATTTTCAAAATGGTGAGGAATATATATATATATTTAACGATTCAACTTTATTACTAGCTTCTAAAAAATATTATAATACCCTGCAAGGAAGGGCATACAAATATCTAAAAAAAAAAAGCGCTAAAAAAGGAGCTCAGAAAGAGGGTGGGGTTTCAGAGGGGTGGAAAAAACTGGAAACTTTTCAATTGCACTTGAACAATTCGATTTGCATAAAGTTTAGCGCAAGTCGAAGGCCAAATTTCCAATACAGTGTAGGGAAATGGAAAAATGGCAACCAGTTTTCCTGGGTATCAGAAGCGGAGTCTGCTCGGTTGGAAATTGAATCATCACATTCTCCTCGACAGGACATACAGGAGATGAGTCTCTAATCGATTAATATATTATTTTATCATCACCGAAGGATTTAATGGGTATTTTCTAGTCCGGTTCTAGCGACTCCTGCTGCTTCTGTTTATTTTATTATCGCGGAACGTCTTTCGCTTTTCATTCAATGCAATTTATTAATAAACATAACGATAATAATAATAATAAATCATTGAATAAGACTGGCTGGGGGAGCGGGGATCGTAAAGCGAAATAAATAATCGTGAAACGTAGCGGACATAAAACGAAATGAATTGAAACCCAGAATGCGAAGAGGTGGCATTTTCGAGAGCCTGTATTCAGAGTGGCTTGTGGTGGAACATGTTCCCAGTTTTAAAGAAAAAAAACGTACATAATAAAAGACGGCAATATTCATGAAAACGGAAAACTTTCCGTTCGCCCAAAACATTTTGGTCTTTTTCTTTGCAATTTTGCAATTTGAGTGGCGCAGATTAGCAATCGGTTTGCTCCCTTCTCCCAGGCACCTGGGTTCGTGCCTGGCCCTGAATGCCCTGGCTCACCTGTTTAGCAGGTACACAGCGTCCCCAGCATCCAGCCAGGTGCAGCACTAAAATTGAAAAGCATAAATACTAGGGGGGGAGTACGTCTATAAACAAGCTGTGTGAAGGGTTTGTGTGTGCTTGGGGGGAGCTGCCCTAAAAAAAAAACCACAAAACGATGTTGCAACCTGCAATCGCTAGCTCCATAGTTGGACAGCTTTCACAAACGGTGGAAGCAGAACCAATTTTAAATCGCTCGGAGACACTAAATATCGGTTTTATTCATCTATTAATTAAAGGGTATCAAAATGAGAGTGAAAACTCTTTGGAAATAATTAAATCGAGCCTCCTAAAAACTGACGAATAACAAGAATATTAATTTGGAACTTGGACAAAGGACAAAGGACAGGCAACAATTGGCAGCGAGACAGAGCGAGAGAGAGCAATGGCAATAGGCCAGGACAAACAAAACAAACAACAAGGATTCTTCTGTTGGCCCACAAAATAAATTTCCTTGTTTTTTGTTTTGGGTTTTTGGGGGGCCTGAATGCTAATGAATCGTAGTGACGCGGGAAGGCCCAGCTATATACATATATCTGTACAGAGCCAGGCGACTTTATATCGTGGCCGAGGAGTGGCCAGCAGTGGGCCGTGGGAAAATGGTGTAAAACAAATAAACAATCACAGCCAAGGCAAAATGAAATGTCACAAAAGAAAACAAAGGCGGGAGGCGCTCCTGGGCAGCGGCAACAGGCAACAGCAGCCACAAATAAATGACAAAACAATGACACAAGCAGAGGATTGAAAAGCAGGCCTTAGAATAGAGACTGTGCGGCATGAATTTACAGCCTACGAACATTTTATATAAACCTTTTTTTAATTTTTGAAAAATTCAATAAATGTTGTTTGGAATTGTATCCAATATTAATTTAAAAAAATTATATACAATATTCTTCAAATTATTTAAGGGGGGTATTTCGTTGCAAAACGGGTCACTTTTCAAACAATTATTGTGGCAAAACAGCTAAAGTTAGCTTAATGAATTAAATCTCATATAATAACACAGCATTTGAACAATTTTTAATAAATTTTGTATAGAAAAATATTTAGAGGTAGAGAAGTTATAGGGAATCTCCCTAGTCGCCTCCAAAAACAAGTTGGTTTGCAAACTGTACACAGAATCATCCGATTTAAAAAAATTATAACTCATTCGTTAAAAGATAAGTGTCCCGAGGTACTCACGTTTGGTTTTTTTTTTTTAAATTTTCCCCGATTTTTTATAAAATTTGAAAGTCAAAACACCGATTTTTGACTACAAAATTAAGTTAATTTGTTAAATTAAAAATATAAGAAAATTAAAAACTAAAGAAAACTAGGCGTAAGTAGCTATAGAATTAGTTAAACAAGTTATGTTCAAAATTTCAAACCGATTGGTTCAGTAGATTTGGAGTTACAGTTTGTTTGGTAACTGCGAAATCAAAGCGTACTCCGGAATTCTCAGAAAAAGTTCATTTGATCAATTTTAAAAATGTAGTTATTTAAATAATTAACTTTCACATTGCACCTTTATATACATAAATTTATTTTATTTTATTTACAGTCCCTCCAAATCATCCAACAATTCATTTGTTACTCCGCAAAACGCATACCAGAGTCCTTGTGGCATTTAAAATATTCGTTCTATTTGCCCATTGAGTAAACGTGGCTTAAATTGATTTGAATGTCTTGGAAGCGGGAAGGCGGGTGTGATATGTCACAATCACCAGTTTGGGGCTCTCTCCCTGAGGCGGCAAGGAGGTGATGGGGCTCACGGCGGGCTGCCTGGCTCAGATCGCCTTAATCGCAAAAGCCGCAGCCAAAACGAGGGCTCATGTAATTATAAATGCCATTTTGTGTCGGTTTTGTTTAGCATGAAGAGATAAGAGAGCAGTTTGTGTGCGGCAGGGAGGTGGTCTAAGGGCCTGGGCCCAGGGGGTGGGTGCGCTGGCGAAGGGTTAACGTGGGACATGCATATTTATCATTTACGTAGGCACAAATTTGTGTCTGTCTCATGAATGACACGAAAAAGGCAATTTAAGCAAACACACACGCGGCCAGAGGAGTTCCTCCCTAACACAAGGAGGCCGTATGGGGAGAGGGGGAACAGAGAGGGGGTGGGTGGCCGAGTCGACCGGTGGGTGGGGCTGACATCTTCGCCGCAGGCATTTTGAAAATTTCACACACAACACTCGGAGCAAGACACTCGGGGAGTCGACATTGAGTTACCTCCTAATGGTGCTTGTCTAAATTTTCATTTAAATTCATTCATTTAAATTTGAACATTTTAATTTCAGTTGCAAGTTAATAAATCAATCAATTGGGAACCCAGGAACTAGATTATGTTACCCTACTTTATTGGGTCTTAGGTATCTCACAGGCGAGCACTTTTCACTTGTTTCGCTTCTGCGGGAGTAGCTTTTCCAGCCACCTCAACATACCCTTTTCCTGCACAACGCATAATGGGTGTAATGAAAACAGAGCACCCGCACACTGTCACACTGTCAACAGGCAAGAGCAGCCGCACGCCAAATAAAGAGAACAACAACAACAAACGTAAGCGGGGCCACAATTGCTGGCTCTTATCATGGGCAACAAGAATCGAGCCAAAAACGTATATGTATGTACATATATTCCAATAGAAAGAGACCAAGCTGAGCTGAACTGAAGCGAGCCAAGTTAGCAGCGGGCTCTGCTCGAGGAAAATGAGCGGAGAAAGGCGGGGAAAAGTCATTGACCCAAAGCAGCAAATGACACACACTGCATCTTATCAGTCCGCGGCCATGTGCTTGTGGAAATGGAGCTTGTTGCTCCGCACAGTGAATTCCAGAGATCAGCAAAGTCTTGAGCTCAAAGTATACCCCATTTCCAGTGTTCCATGTTAGTTGGTTTGAAAGTACTTAAGGCTCAGTTACACATAATTAATCAGCCTTATAATCAGGCCTTGCATATATTTTCCGAGTGCAATTGTTCGCCAATTTGATTAAAGCTGCTGCCAAGGTCAAAGTTAATGTTAAAGCTGGCATGTGGCTTAGCCAAGCTCCCGGGGGAAACTTTTTGAAGGAACCTCGGCACACACACAGTGGGCGGGAAAAGTTGTTCTTTGTCCTTTTTTTTTTTTGCAAAGTTGTCGCTCTAGTTTTCCGTTTCCCCTTGCGCTAGTTTTGCTGCCTGTCAGCTGGCAAGGCTTTGGCTGTTCGACTTCATCTTTATGCCTGCAACAGATTCATCCCAAGGAACAATGGCACAACAAGGCCAAGACACAAGAAGGAAGCCACCACCACAATTTGTAGGGATTTTTATAGACAAGAGGGTGGCCGGCTTGGGTGGGAACTTCTTAGACACACACATGTTGTACTAATGAGACAATTTCCATTGGTCCCGCGGGTGGCTTGAGCCTTATCCCCTAATGAACTGTATTGTCCCCCGGACCTGTTGCTCTCCGCCTTTCGCCACTCAAGGGTGTCACATTGTCTTGTCGTTTCAATTAGTGTCCAGCTGAAGGAGAATAGGATTCAACATCGAGAAACCTGTTTGAAATTGGCATGGGAATCGTTTTTAAGGGGGCATTGTACCATTGTACCAATTAGTCCGAAGAGCAGAAGAGCCTCAAATCCGTTGAATATATATATATATAGCAGATCCTTCTAATCCTTCTACCGGCCTGACTTTCTTAAGCTGGCAAACGGAATCGGAGGGGAGTTCATCGGCACGGCAGTCATAACAATGAATGAGCGATGGCAGCTAGAAGCATTCACCTCCTTCCGCTGATTGGGCATGGTTTATTGGTGGCCCCAAAAGTGGGTTTTGTGTGTTTGTGTCTAGGATGAAAGTTAATGGCTGCCGGAGCAGCAGCTTGAGTGGATCTGGTGGGCTATAAAAGCAGCCATTAGGGAATCTTAAAATTTGCTTTGAAGGAATTACTCTAAGGGGGATTCCCAAAAAAAAGAACGATCGAGCCTAGCACAGAGATGGAACACCGTGACATTGATGACTAATCGTAATCGGGTGCAATCGTTAGCCGTTTGGCCATGACAATGGATATATATACACTGGCAGCCAATAGAGGCGGCTTATCTTTTACGGAGAATAAATATTTTATCGCATTATCGATTGCGATTACCCAGTTAATGAATTAAACACACACACACTGGTGCATGCCAGAGGGACCTCCTTCGGTTCGCCACTCGATTCCAAAATTCCACAAAAAGAATCCCGGCCCAGGCAGCTGCGACAAGTGCGATAAGAAGTCAGCCAATAATGGCATAATAATAAATCATCGCTAGGACACACACACACCACACACACAACACACGGAATATAAAATAAAACAAAGCAAGTGCAGCCTAGGCAAAGTTTGCACATAAAATGCCAAGCGAGGGAATACTATAATTTACGATTCGATACCGAATATCACAGAGCAGCCAACAACAAAAAGCTTCATTGAATTAATTATGACAAGCGATGAGTTTATTTACGATCACTGTAGATTACCAATGAGAGCTGTCGTCGTTGCTGGATCGAATCGGCTGGTTACAGCACCAGGAACACCTTGGTCTTGCACTCTCACTTTAAAATAACAAATACAAATACTTCCTACGAATGTGTTTCAAATATTTGAAATATATTTTAATAATTCGTTAATTAGAAAATGGCATATATATACCTTTACTACCTCTCGCTTTCAGGCAGCTGAGGAGGCCATTTCTTTCTCAATTTCTTAATTATTTCAAATTACACTTGAAAAAAAAAGAAGAATATTTCTGTTTTTCTCACTGGACGAGAAGAATTCTGCGTGTCCGGCGCTTTTCCTCCGATGCCTGAGAGCGGACTGTTGCTGCGTCTGCTGCTGCTTCTGTCGGACTCGGAATTCGGTTTCGGTGGATATGGAATACTTGGGAGAGCTGGCCAGCGACGTCAGTACAACACGAGGCATCGAGTTCCCGGGAAAAACTGACAGCGTTCCGCTGTTACACTTGATGCATGCCCGAAATCGCAGAGCCGAATACCAACAAAGCCCGAAACGATCCGAACCTGAATCCGGCCAGCCGAAGTGTGCCAAGGTAAGAGAGGGTTTGCCAATGGTTTGGGGTTGCTTTTTCGGCGCCCTTTTTTTTTGGGTAGTCTTCAGGCGGATTTTTTGGGTGGAACGGCGGAAAAGCGCCACAAGTGCATGCCGAAAAACCGAAAGGGAAAAGAGAGCCACGAGCCCAGCAAGAGGCGCGCTCCTAGGCCAGCTTCAGCTGAGGGATAAGCGGGGAAGCCGAGCAGCGGCCGCGGGGAAAACCCAGAGGAAAAGCGGGGCGAAGCTTTGGCGCTGAATGCGCACTCAGCGAAGCTTTGCCGCCGCTTTTCCACCAGCCTGGCCAGAGCTTTCCCTCCGCAGCGGCTGACGAGATGCAACAAGCCCTGGCTCCGGAGCAGATACAGATGGGAACAAGATACATTCGAATGTGAATAGGTTAACTTGAACTGCAAGCGATATGAGAGGGCCAAACTGGAGTAACGCGCCAATTGTTTGACTTGAAATCGGCACCGGAAGTGACTGGAGCGCACATGCGACCGTTAAATGACAGACAAATGATGGATGCAAGTGCCACAAAATAAATTCTTATTCTAAACCATCATATAGTTAGTAGGAAAGATACCTTACGTAGCAGAGTATTTGTAATTGGACACTCACAGAAATTGTTGCCCAAATCCAGGCTTAATAATATGAAAATAATATATATTCTTTACCAACTATTCACGTAGAAAACTCTGTCAGCCTTCTGATAGCACCTGATGTTCGCTGGATAATCTTTCTACCACTTATCATAGGAGGCCTTTCGAATCTGGAGGCTAAGGAACTGCATCCCGTCGAGGTAATTGCCACTTTCCAGGGATTGGATTCCAATCCAATGATATACACATATAAAGCCGTAGTTTGTATAGCTAGTTCTTTAACGGATGGACAATAGCAAGCCCGCAATGATCGCTATACCCTTAAAAGTTGATGTGTGGGGGAAGGTAGAGAGAGAGTCTCTATCCATCTGGACTCACGGTGGAAACCGTAGTGTCACATTCGCAGCCGCCTGATGTGTATTAATGCTGCCAGAGTGCCACATGCCAGATGGCAGCAGTTCAATCATAATAAACTCCCAATCAATTTTTAATGATGCAAAAAGACAAATGTGTGTAGCCCGCCGAATCCCAGGTCCCTTTCTCGGGGTCAAAGGCCATGTAAAGCGATATAAATTGTTGCATACGCTTGCTTTTATTTGATTATTTTTCATTATACTGTTGAAACCTGCATTTCAAATAATCAATAAATACGTTTTACCTGCTCAACTTCATATCGGGGAGACTGTCACCAGTTTTTTTATTTCCATTTGGTCAGTTGCTGGCCAACATTGGCGTGGTTGGACTGATGATTGATCTCAATGTGATTTAAATGGTCTCGACTGAGCCCTGAATTATTAACGACGTCGTCGTCGGATTACGGCCAGCCCATATCGCTGCCTTGTCCTTTGCTGTATTTGGTTTGCCTTACAATAATTTTATGTGGCACACATAAAAATTTTCATTTCAGCTCGTTAGCCACGGCGTATACGCAACAAGCTGAATGAAAAATACGTTACGTATACGTATTTGTGTGTACGTGTATAAATAAAAAAGAAAATAAAATAAAAGCATGCATAAAACTTTACACCCAATTGATTTCGATTTCGTTTTAATGAATTTTGCGGGCTCAGCGCAATTTTTGGGTCCCTCCCCCCCTCGGATCTGTCTCAACTTGCAGTGCGTATATAGTTTGCTTTCAGGTGTTTATTTATACCACTGCCTTGGCACAAGCCTTCAATTAAAATTTCAATTATTAGCTGGCAAACAGAAGAGTGCTGCTGAGCGTAGGTAGGAAATACCCAGAAACCAGGAAGGGAAGGTAACTCTGGTAAGCCAAAGTTTGTATACCCTTGTATACCCCTATACATTATCAAACTTGAGCTGTGAAACATCTACTTTACTTTCTTCTTGTACTTTAGGTTTCATAGTTTAACCCACCTTTCGGAACTTGATTGATATTTCAAGTCTGTCTCTACAATGGTGGCCAGAATGGCCAACGATTTGTTTTTGGTTTTGGTCACAATTTGAGAGAACCGCCAGTTGAACTTGAATACACAACCCTTTTTCCAGTCTGCAATAAAATAAGGCCAGAGGATGGATAATAAGTTGAAATTTCAAACCAATAATTAAAAGGCTTGCTGGGACCTGGCCGCGTGTCTATAATGACGAGGATCGTAGCCCATGGAGGAGAGGATGGGGCCTTCATCTACTAAGCTTACTTAGCTAGTTGTTCTTAGCCACATTTCATTTGAAAATCAATAAAATAACGAATATGAAACAAGCTTTAAGCGCAGGTATTTATGTATGCGTATTTATCTGGCGTTCTCGTCGGCTGCTGGCTGGATATGTGCAAATGTGCAAATGTGCCACAAGCTGTCAGCGGGGTGCCAGAGCTCCCACTTGTTTTCTCTGTCGTGGCAACTTGCCGTGAATTACAGGTGCGGTTAGTAGAATAGAATGCAACTTAAAAATAAATAAATAAATATTTGGCGAAGCCTTCATCTATTTTATATCAGAATTATTTTATTACTTGAATATTTCGCACCATTTGGGATGCTTTAAAATGGCTATTTAAATATGTAACTCTGTTCATTTATGAATTGGCGGCTAAAATGTAGCATAAATATATTAAAAAATATAAAAAAATGGCACTTTTAATTATATTTTAAACAATATTTTCACTTCTGGCCACAAGTGTGCGAATGGATGGATGCCTTTTGACAAGAACTGTTGGTCAGATGGCAAAACAAAACTCACGTCACAGCCCGCATCTGTTTGCGGTTTGTCCTTTGGTCCAGCTCCTCGTGGAATCCCCGGGGAAACATGGAATGGGGGCGTGGCCACAGCACCCCGATAAGCACTGGGCGAAGTGCCCAGGGAGCAGCGGGCAGCCGGAAAATATGCAGCGCAATTCGTTTATCAATTTTCTCGGTACCGGCGGAGCAGATACCAAAAGTGGTATGTGGCAGTGCTCATAGCTTCTGCTCCTGTAATTGCATTTTAATTTGCAACAAATTCAATTTTAGTTGCAAACATTTAATGTAGTTGATGTGTGCAGCCAACGTGTGCGACTGCTGTGCATTCGTGTGGATTCGGATCTGTGTTTCCACCCAGCAGATACATTTGTACAGAGATATATACACATTTCGTATATGAAATATACTGAGATTCTGATCCAGCTTCCATTTTCTATACTCCGCAGCAGGATGCTTGAGAAATCGCTGGGTTTATGCAAAGGACTTGGGAAATTGCACTGTGACCCGTCGTCTAAGGTCACTTAAACCAGGGGGTCTGGGTGCCACGTATGCATAAGCCCATCAATAACAATAAGGTCCAGGTCTATGTACGCACATGGAGTCGGGAGTCGGGAGTCGGGAGTCGGAGTCGGAGTTGGATATGGAGCAGTCGGGTAAATCCAATTTAAAAGCAATTCGATTCAAGGCAACTCATCATCCCTTCTTCTGCCATTCCTTGGCTCCCTTAGTATCTCACACCGCACACAACATCGCTGCTGTCTGCTCTTGGCCCTGGCTTATTATTGATGGTAATGAAAATTTGATGATGGCCAGCAGACTTTGTCGACGACTCTGCATCGTCTCCTGCTCCTGCTCCTCTGGCTTTCCTGGGTATGCTAATGATAATGACAATGACGATGATTGATTGATGTGTTATTCTTGCTGTTCGCCTCGGTTCTCGGTTCTTGGTCCTCGGTCCTTGCCTTTGGCTTGTTCTTGTTGCGTTTGTGCGTTTGTCTGTTGGTCTGCCTTTGTTTTCCCAAAGAAACCGCTTTTTCCCCCAGTTAATTAGTGCGAACTGACTTGGCACCGCCGAAAATTCAAATGAAGCGTCAAATGGTTTTTCCTTCTGGCTTCTTTCGCTCTTAAGAGCTCCCTGGGGTTGAGTCCTGGTTACCAGTCTTCAAGGCAGGCAGGCACGGCCTTCATGAATGTATTTATGAGCGGATTCTTAATAACTCTTTCAACTTTTCCGAAGGTTTTCCGAAATAAACACACACACACACGCTGCAGCGTGACCCAAAGCCTCGGCAGTTCTCGAGTTCGAGATGTGCGGCAACAGGCTCGACTCGAGAGCAATTTCATTTGATTGTTCCGCAAATTAAGTTTCCCCCGAAAACAGGACCTTTTTGGTTGGGAAGCGAGCAAGTGGGCCTTGGGATGCGGAAGTTTTCGGGGCCAACAAAATCGTTTCTTTCGAAAGCAACAGGTTATGCGTACTCCTTGAAGGTTTTAACCTTAAAGGGACACTAACTTGTGTATTTAAATAAAATACCAATAATTTTATATAATTTTTCGAAATAAACAAAACTTACAAAACCCATACCTAAGCCAAAAATGCATTTAATTAATGGTGGAATTTTTTTGGGTCATTTATGGGAAAAAACAAAATTTTTAAAATTCATAACTAAGCCTAAAATTCATTAAATTCAATTCGGAAAACTTTTCTGTTCTAGTTTTTTCTAGGTTAACAAATCTGCATGCTGAATTTTACATTTTAAGAAATAAATTTTTTTTTCTCAAGTTTTTTTGTTGACTATTTTCATTTTTAATTCCATAAAATATGTTGAAAAATTAAAAAATTTGTTTTTCTGCCAAACATGTCTATATCGATTCGGTTTTTGATGCTGATCAAGAATATATATGATTTATAGGGTCGGAAATGACTTATTCACTTACTAAAATCATAATATACCCTTAAAAAAT